GGTTTAAACTTTAAACCCCTTCTCTCTTCGCTTCCCCCCCCCCCAGGGAAGGGGAGGGGAGGCTTTTGAAGATGCCTTCCCCCCCTTTTGCTTCCCCTTCTGACATCACTTCCAGTGATGTCAGGGGGCATTGCATATACTAATGAGCTATTATGCTAATAGTCTAGTGGCTCATTAGCATACCGTATGCTAATGAGCTCCTGCAGCTCTTTTTCTACAAAAAGACCCCTGGGTGTGACCCCCCATCTGTCATAGGCCTCTGAAGATCTGTGCAAGACTGGGCCTAGTGAGGCCTAAGAGACCTGCCTGGGAGTGGGCAGCAGACAGCCTACAATCCCCACAAGGCTTTCTGCCGGCGGTAACCAATTGGGGTCAAGGAATTCTCTGAGGAGATTGTTTATATACTTGGTGGTCAGTTAAACTGTGTTCTTTTCCTCTCTGCGGTTTTTGCCTCTCACAGAGCTAAGCTGAGGAGACTGGTCTGGGAGAAAGATCCCTCATTGGGGACAGTGAGTACAGGCAGAAGCCTGGCATAAGAGCGCTGTAGGGCTTGAGTAGTAACAGTTAAGGAGTATTAGGTAGCTGCGTTAGCTTTGTGTTTCTTTTGGGCTTTCAACACTGTTATGTATTTTAAAGTCCCTTGTCTTGCCTTGTTTTTCCCCTGCCCAGTACTGCAATAATAAACCGTTTTTGTTTAATTGTTTCTCTGCCTGATGACATTGAGGCCTTCCTTCAGAACTCTGAAAAGGTCTGCATGGACTACAAGGTTCCCGAAGAACGGTATATGGAAAAGTTGAGACCACAGCTGTGTGGAGTCCTGGCTTCAGTATCTGGCCAGATGGGAGGTGAAGAGAGGACCAATTATAAGCTCTTCAAACAAAGAGTGTGTGAGAGAGTGGGGTTCACCAAAGAATGGGCCCGAAAGCGCTTTAGGGAGATCAGGCTGGAAGGTAAAGAGCCCTACACACAGCTGATGTATAGGCTGGGAAGAGCCTATGATTTATGGGTAGAGGTTGCTGAAGCCAAGACCATGGATGATATCAAGGCCCTGATGTGCATCGACAGGTTCCTAAGTCTTCTTCCAGAGCATATTAGGCGCCCCCTTGTCCCTCCACTCTCCAGGAAGCAGGACAGTGGGCCAAGCAACTGGCTGAAGCCTTGGGAGGGCAGAGGTACAGCACCCCTTATGACTGAAGTAAGAGGGAGTCTCTTAAGTCCCCACCTCACTCCGGAAAGCCATCAGAGGTGAACGGAGAGCCGCCACAACAACCGTGGAATGTTCCCTCCAATACCGGGGTGAAGTCACCACATGAAGAGAGGAGAGTGCCCCGGTGTTTTGCGTGCAACCAACTAGGTCATATCCAGAAGCAGCGCCATAACGACGGAGCCAGCGTGCACCACCTGATGTTGGAAACCAACCAAGCTGTTCCTCCTGTATTCAATCCGGAGTATATTCCCCAGTGCCACTGGAAAAAGGTCCGGGTGGATGGCCAAGAAGTAGCAGCCTGGCGAGATACTGGGTCCCTCCTAACTACAGTGCATCGCTCGCTAATTGATCTCAAGTCCCTCCTCCCAGGAGAAGGTAGGTGGGTAAGGTGTCTGAACGAAGTAGAAGGGATTGTGCTCCCTGTAGCCCAGTTACCGATCAGCTGCAAAGGCTGGAGTGGGTCGTGGAAGGTAGCTGTGCACAATTATACCCCGGTAGCCATGTTTGTGGGGGAAGATTTAGAAGAGCATATGACTACGGAACCCAGAGTCTATGAACCTGAGCTGGCAGAAAAGGAGGCCAATCCAGAGGAGGATGTCTACCAGCAGTTCTTAAAGGACTTTGAAGGTGTCACTGAGGAACCCAGCCAGCAAACCTATGTCTACAAAGGGGTGTTAACCCATCGTCGGTCTGAAAAGCAGCAGCAAGGTGAGCACACCCCAGCAACTTCTCCAGACCCTGTTGTAGAGCCGACGGTGGTAGAGTCTCCTCCAGTGATTCCGTCTGCGTTTCAGAAGGATCAAGAGGAAGACGCCAGCCTGGAAGAAGTCCGTATCAACTTTGATTCCATGTTCCCATCTGATTTGGGTGACGTGCCACTCAACTATGCTGCTCAAACCAGTGAACAACAGCATCAGCAACCATCACTAGAACATAACACTACTGAGAAAAGTGAATATATGGCAGTTTTAAAGCCTTTTGAAAGTAGTTCCACTGTTGGAACAGAAAAGCCAAGAGTTGTGAAGCAGCCTGAAAAGAAAGTGGTGAACAGTAGACTGACTTGGGTAAATGACCATCAGAGTGGAGAAAAAGAGAGCTCGTTGTTCCTGAAGACTGAGTTTGCAGTGCCAGTACAAAGTTCCATTAGCGGTAATCACAAAAGTCAACCTGACACCAGCAGGAGAAGGAAATTTGATGAAGAATCTCTGGAGCACTTTAGTAGCATGTCAGATCTAGTGGATCCTACCACTGTGACAAAAACATTCAAACCAGAAACAGGCAATGATCTTTCTATGTATGAAGCTTTGAGAAATGCCATTTATTCTGAAGTAGCTACACTGATGTCTCAAAATGAATCTCGCCCTCAGTTTCTAATTGAGCTTCTTCAGGAACTTCAGATGCTAAATTCAGACTATTTGAGACAGAGCACTGAAGGCACTACAGGATATAGTAGCCAGGCGTACATCTGAAGGCAGCACAAAAGTAGAATGTCCAAAACCTCTGAACTCAACGGCGTGTTTAAGATCCAATTCAGAACTTACTCCCAGCAAAAGCCTTGCTACTACTGATGATGGGACATTTGAAAAGAGCTTTGACCCAGGAGGGCCTCCAATGAATTAACTTGACGGTGTCTTCTCTTTAATGTTGATCAGAATACTGTTTACTGTGTCCATGACTTTGTCTCTCCATCTAGCAGATAGGTACACCTCTGATCAGAGAAAAGGTACAGAAGGTTAGGAGAGAGGCTGGCCAGTGCTGTTAGAGTCTATCTGCTCTTAGGCACGTAGAGCCATACCCTGTCCTCTAGCTACCCTGCTATGCCAGTTTGAACTGGGGATCTGCCTTCAAACCCTGGTTTCTGATTTTCCTGGTCCTGTTGCCTGGGTCTCTTGAGACCTCAAAGGTTTCTAAGCCTGAAAGAGACTGTCCAGAAGTTCAGGCCCAATCTTTTCAATGACTTACTATCCACTGGTTTGGTTTTTTGAGAGCCATTGAAGGTTCACAAGTCTGTGAGCGTCCTATCTTTCGACTGTCCTGGTGTGTTCTGAAAGGTAATTATGGAACTGCTTTGGCTTTTCGATAATTAGGGAACTACACATTCACTAGCAACGACCTGAAGGATATTGGAGCAGTAGGTTAGCTGCAATGCAAAATGGCTTTGGCTACTATACATTATGGTTTTGCTCCTTTTCTGCTCCTTTTATCTGCTTTTTGTTTTCTCACATTATTTGTTGTAGCTCTGTATATCTTTCTTGGTACTTCTATACCCTTGTCTTTTACTATTAATCCCTACTAGCAATAGCCAATACCCATCAGGGTCACCTAACCATAAATGTTAGGCTTTCTTAGAAATGTCAACTGGATTAAGGAATATGCATGAGCTGAATTTTATCAAAGTATGCCATATTTAAATATTATATCAATGCATGACATGGGTCTCAAAGAGTACAGACATATGATCTGTTCAAGACCTTTGAGGCAGAAGAACAGTAAGATAAGGAGAAGAACATGCATTTCTGGAGGGCATCATAGGAAAATGGATTCTTATTTCCCCACCTGACATAGGGAAACTGGAAAGAAATAGCCCAATAAAAGTTAATATACCAACAAATCTTAACTACATTAAGTTATCTGAATATGGCACAGATGATATTTCCCTCTCCAGCAACATGTACCTGTCAGTGTTGAACTGCTCACATTACTGACAGTAGAAGAAGGTGTTTTAAGTTCACCATCATCATCCAGTTGGAGTTCTCGCTCTACAGGCTGTTCTGGAATTGGCAGAGGAAGTCCTTCTCGTGGCTGTGCCATAGGCAGTGGTATCCCATCCAACTGTTTCTTTTTTCCCTCCTCCTCAGCTGAAATGGCAAATCGTGGCATATCGAGAAGCACAGAACAACGCCGACGGACAGTCAGTGGTGGGCTGGAGTCACTCTCTGTATGAGACGATTCAGATACTGACAAGTGTTTACGTAATCTGAAGAAAAAGAATGGAACACATTGCACCAATAAACAATTATTTTTCCGTTCATATAACATGTGAAAGATTTGTACTGGTGATAACTGTTGAAAAAATTATTTCCCCTTTCTATTCCATTAAACTGTTAATGTCTTTAAGCATTCTTAAGTTGTTTTATTTTTGCTTTAATACAAAAGAAGGGCGACTATTTCTTGGTGTTCACTGAGCAGGCAATCCTGCACACTTTTACACTGCTTAAATTCCATAGACTTCAATGGAATTACAGGAGTGCACACCTCACATGGTAACTAAACCAAACCATCAATTCCAATATTCAGATTTTTATTAAGAAGAATCCTTGTATTCTGCATAGTCAAACAACAATTGAGTTTTTAGATACAAGACTCTAAACATTTCTCTCTCTACTCTCCCCCCTTTCATTTTTATATTCACAGGAGGAGAAGCTCTGGAATATCACTTTAGACCTGTCTCTTAAAAGAGAAGATGGTTTTCCCACAGCAGCTGAATTCACAAGGAGGAGGAGGAGGAGAAGAGTTGGATTTATACCCCGCCTTCACTCGGAGTCTCAGAGTGACTTACAATCGCCTTCCCTTCCTCTCCCCACAACAGATACCCTGTGAGGTAGGTGGGGCTGAGAGAGCTCTGAGAGAACTGTGATTGACCCAGGGTCACTCAGCTGGGTGCATGTGGAGGAGTGGGGAATCAAACTCGGTTCTCCAGATTAAAGTCCGCCACTCTTATCCACTATGCCGCTCTTAACCACTACACCTTTTCTTTAGCAAAAATGCTGAGCTCACATTTCAGGCGACCCGATTACCCAGCTGCGGTCTCGACTCTTCAGGCTACCAAGGCTATCCAGTCTATCATCTTTTTCCTCACTCAAGCTGCGTTTGGTGGGAGGTGGTGTTTTCCTCTCTTCATGGATGGAAAGACGTTCCATGCTACTATACACCTGTAGGTATAATCCAACTTCATATCAGCATATGGAAGATAATTCTGATAGCTTTAAATCACAAAGTACTGCTCTCAGAATGGAATGTTTAAATAGAACAGTTAATTTACTATTGCAGGCAATAATAGAACATGGTGCCAACAACTTGTCCAGGTGGTGATGGAAACTGTGTGTGCCCAGGTCAACACTTTGCTGCATTTAAAACATGTCATGCTGATGTTGCTGTAACAGCTTTTTTAGTAGTACAATAGCAATAGATTTTGGAAAACAATGATTCACCAATTTAATGCTAGGAATGGGTCAGTTTCTGTAACATTTTCAACCACAGAAGATAATCTATTTCTAAAACTGCTATAGCACAAACTCAACCCTAGAGAGTTTTTTCTAAAGAGAAATTCTACTCCCTCCTAATTTGCTTAGTCAATCATGCTTCAACAGCTGTTTTACAATTACGGTACATTTCAAATAATTCAATGGTTACAGGGAAGAAAAAAGGAATCCATGTTTATGAAACTGAACTAGACTGTGAACCTAATTTGCATAAGGGTGATGAAAACAACATTATTAAAAATTCACAACATCAACAGGATAGCTATTAATAAATTATCTGGCTGAATTGTCAGGCAAGGTTTTCAAAATAATGACCCTTTCATGCCACTCACATTATACAAATACTGTACTATTTTCCAGAGCTCAAAATATAGACATGTCTGCATTAGCTCAATTTAGCACACCACCAGAAATAGTGCAAGTAGCTGATTAAATCTGTAAAGTGCCCCCATGACTGTTTATTTTGGATGAGCATCCCATTTCCAAATATTTAACATTCCTACAATGCACCTTGCTTTTATTTCAACAAATATCTTGTGATGTCCCAACGCACTACACTCCAGTGCTTCATTATCAAGCCTTTTCTCCTATGAAAATGATCTGCATATATTCACCCACTTGGCTAAGACACTAATATCTGGGGAGGGGGGGGGCTGTCAAAAGAAGAAGAAGAGATTGGATTTATACCCTGCCTTCACTACCCAGAGGACTCTCAAACCAGCTTGCAATCTCCTTTCTCTTCCCCTCCCCACAACAGGCCCCCTGTGAGCTAGGTGGGGCTGAGAGAGCTCTTTTGAGAACTGCTTGTGAGAGAACAACTCTGAAAGAACTTGTAACTGACCCAAGGTCACAGCAGCAGCTGCATGTGGAGGAGTGGGGAATCAAATCCGGTTCTCCCAGATTAGAGTCCACACTCCTAACCACTACACCAAACTGGTTGTAAACAAACTGGCTATAAACATTTTACATAGGAGAAAGATACAGAGATTATTTACTGAGATAAACAGATATGAAAAACACTTGAATAAATGGTGTTGGTTCAGTTATCCCCTACAAACATATAACTATTTCTCTTTGATTGATAAATCTTGTAAACTGTACAGATGGCAAGTCAAAAAAAGGCTGGTGATTTCTGTTCAAATCCCCACTTAACCCATAAAGCTCACAGGAGGATATAGGGCCAGTTACCATCTATTAGTCAAGCCTTCCTTACAGATCTGTTAGGAGGAAAATATAGAGAGGAGGGGAATATTGGGGAGGGTGGGGTATAAATCTCAATAAATAAATAAATAAATAAAATAAATAGTGCCTTGAGCTTTTTGAAGAAACTGCAATAAACGAAACTAATAAACAAACAAACAACATAATCTATAGTAGAGGGGAGAAATAAGACAACAAATTTATTTATTTATTTATTTACATTATTTATAGCATGTCTTTTTCAATGGGACTCAAGATGAATACACATAGTGAGTCAGTGCAATCAACAAAATGAGACACTAAGTAACCAGTGCATTAGGATTCTAGAAGTCTGGCAACAAGGAGAAAGAACTGAAGCATATTAACATGAAACATTAAGTGGTACAAATATTACATAATAGCATCCTACTTACAATAAACTAAACACAGCAGTACAGACCACAGTCCCTAATCCCAAACCCCAACAGCAGGGAGAAGAGCAGATCACTAGTAGGAAAGGTGCGGGGATACAGAGGCACCCAATACCTAAGCTTCTGTGCTCAAAGCCCAGAGTCCACTGCACCCTAATCCCAAACCCCTGCAGCAGAGAGCAGATCACAAGCAAACAAAAAGCAAAGCAATGAATCAGCTCTGCTAGCTCCACGCCTGTCTCACTTCACCAGCCAACACAGGAGGAAGAGAGAGGACAGTTCACTCACAAAGAGCCAGTTTGGTGTAGTAGTTAAGGGCGGTGGACTCTAATCTGGAGGCACATGCATATAAAAACCAGCCAAGGGAGGATATTAGGTGCGGACACAACAAGTCATTCTACCACTGACTCTATGACCACAGAACCTGCCTTACTCGTGTGACCCTTGGGCCAGCTTCTGACTAAAGCTTTTGGCTCTGCTTGACTCCTGCTTCTGAGTAACCCTTGGACTGCTTGACTATGCCTCTCAGACACCTCCTTGGTAATAGCCCTCCTGGCTCTGAAGTCATGGACCGGACTCTTGACTTGGCTTCCATCGCTCTGACTCTGACTGCCTTCCAGGAACCCATCCTCAGCTCTGCCTGGCCCATGACAACAACAGGAAAAAATGGTGATCTCACTCTCTCCTCCCACCAATGCTCCCTCTAAGCTGTGCAGTTTTGTCAGCAACAATTCTTCTTTGTGAGCTACTGACATTAAAGCTGTGAGTGAGCAATTTGGCCACTGCAGGGGTGGAAACTAGTCAGAGGGTCAAAAATACTGATTTTACTGACCAAAATTCCAAAAAACCTGACCAAATACTGACAAAAAACTGACAAATTACTGAATATTTTAATGTCAGCCTACTGATAAGCTAGTGTTTTAAATGTAAAACTAGGACTTCATTAAAAACTATTATTATCTGGCCTCTACCGTCCCCATAGCCAGCCCCATAGTTAGATGTGACCCAGATAAAAGGACACCTTTCTATTGAATTTTTTTATGAATAGAGGACAATGTTTTCATTATTGTACAAAATTTAAGGCAAAAAAGGTTCCCTTTTAAAAATAATCATATACTGCAGATAATAAAACAGCAAAAACATATTAAAAACCAAACATAAAGTAATAGTTATGACAACAAAACATAATTACTATAAGGTGAGACTTGTCTTTGCTTTTACTTTATCTTTGGTTTTATGATGAAAAAAGAACCGGCCAGCAGCCTGCCATCCCTGGTGGAGGCCGTGTCAGGCTGGGCATTGGAACACCCTAGACTGATTGTCCTGCGTGATTTCAATGTCCATGCGGATGATGTGGCCTCCACTCAGGGGATGGACCTAGTGTCATCCGTGGTGGCACTGGGACTCTCCCAAAATGTAATGACTCCCACTCACCGGGCCAGACACACACTCGATCTGATCCTCGCAGCAGGGGTCAAGTGGACCGGGTCGCTGCCTCAGCAGTGCCATGGTCAGACCATCATGCCCTGAAGGCCCATCTGAATGTTTCACCCTGTTTGGGCAGCGAGCAGATTGCAGCTTGCCCATGGAGCCAAATGGACCTTATGTGGCTTCAAATGGCCCTGCGGGATCCGATGCCCCCCTGGCAGCTTCTTAGATGAGCTTGTAGAGGATTGGCACAACTGACTCTCAGCAGACATCAATGAGATCGCTCCCCGATGCCCTCTGCGCCCTCACTCTTGGCTTGCTCCTTCGTTTACCCAGGAGTTGCAGCTGATGAAGCAAAGGCTAAGATGAGATCCTATGAGATGGTACTCAAAGCCGCTGAGAGTACTATGCGGCCACGACTGCATCTGTGAGCTCATGCCCAGCTCAATTATTTAGAATAATTTGGTCTATGACTGTTCTGCCACAAGGCAGACCAAATGTTAGGGAACTGGACACTGGCTATGATGCCTTTGCGAGTTACTTTGCAGATAAAGTCCTGTCGCTCTGCCGTGACCTCCCCACCACAGTTGAGACAGTAAGTGAACTTGAGGCTCCATGCACGTCTTCTAGTCAGGTTATGGATTATTTCAGTCCGCTCAGCCTGGAGGAAGCTGACAAACTGGTCTTAACTGTACGCCCTACCATGTGCTGCCTTGACCCGTCCCCATCATGGCTAATTAAAGCTGGCCATGATGGGTTTTGAGATGCCCTAAGGGAGATTAACAACAAGCCCCGCTCGGAGGGACAGTTCTCTAGGTCACTCAAGGAAGCTGTGGTTCGTCCCCTCCTGAAAAAGCCATCTCTGGATCTGGCCGAATTTGCTAATTACCGGCCAGTCTCCAATTTGCCTATTTGGGCAAAAATAATTGAGAGGGCTGTGGCAATTCAGCTACCGAGCTTTTTGGATGACACTTCCATTCTAGATCCTTTCCAGTCCGGTTTCCGCCGAGGCCATGGGACGGAGATGGGACTGGTCGCCCTCTCAGATGACCTTTGGAGGCATCTGGATCGAGGCGGATTGGCAGTGATGTTGCTTTTGGACCTGTTGACAGCGTTCAACACGGTCGACTATCAGGTACTGATCCACCACCTCGCTGACTCTGGAGTCCAGGGACGTGCCTTGCAATGACTGGCTTCTTTCCTTCAGGGTCAGGGACAAAGGGTGGTGCTAGGGGAGCAGCTATCCCAAAGGCACCCACTGATTTGTGGAGTGCCCCAAGGGGCACTGCTGTCCCCAATTTTATTTAACATCTATATGTGCCCCCTTGCCCAGATTGCCTGAAGGCATGGGCTGGGATGTCATCAGTATGCGGATGACACCCAGCTCTATCTGTTGTTGGGCAGCCAGTCTGACTCTACACCGGAAGATCTGGACTGGCCATTGCAAGCCATGGCTGGTTGGCTCAGACTGAGCCAAATGAAATTGAATCCGACGAAGACAGAAGTCCTTTGCCTGAGCAGGGGTGGCCCAAGGGTACGGATCCTACTTCTGAACTTCGATGGGGCCATTGGTGCCAGCGCCAGAGGTTAGGAGCTTGGGAGTGCTCCTGGATGCCTCACTAATAATGGAGG